ACATATTTGGAGGACTATGGTTAAGATCTACTGTAAAACTGAGACAAACTTTGATTTCAACAGTTTTTTGAATGGATTTAAGTTAAATTAACTTAACGCTAACGAAGAGCCGGTGAATAGTTTACTAAAGTTTTGAATTCAATTCACGCGATAATAATTATGGCATAAATTACACAAACTAACGGCAATTGAAAAATAAAATGTCACAAAACCCTATTGACTGTCAATTTGTTCACTATATAGACAATACACTAAATTAAAACCAAATCTCAAACCATAATACTGTACAATCAATTGATCGCTTTGTATGTGAAAAGCCATTCAAAGTGAGCGCCAAAAGTAGCGACAATAGTATTTGTATTGAAGGCGTTCACTGATTGGTTGATCGCATGCAAGGCTTTCAGAAAAGTAGTCTTATTTTGAATTGTTTTGAATCACATTTCAATTGAGTAGACATTCAGTCATCATAACCAACACATCCAACGCATCCCACAACCACACAGACAATGATCGGCAGTCGGGTCTCGTCGAGGATCGCCCAAAGACTCATCAAACGGGAACAGATCGATGTGAGCGACGACCACAACAGCGCCGGTAGTATTGGTGGCGCTCACGACCGTCCTCTTGAGCGCAACTCTTCGGCCGTCGACTCCGCACACCACTCATCCGCACTCATGTCACCCGTGATGACCGTTACGCCCAAGAAGTCGTACAAAAGGCATACACTGATCACGTCGTCGCCGTCGTCTGTCGAAGAGGACGACGGGTTTGACCGCAACTCCGGTGACGATATCCCCGATGAAGAGGACGAGGAGGAGGACGACGACGACGACGAAGAGGAGGACGAAGTGATTGTGGCGACGCCTCTGCGCCAGAGACGGGCCGCCAAACGGCTCAACCGTATAGCCCGACACCACCGCAAACAGAGGGCCGACGGGTTGGGCGCTGAAGTGGATTCGGCGCGCAATAAGTTGGACGACCTCTTGGCCCACATATCCAAAGGCGACTCTCAAGAGGAGGACGACTTCGACGACGACGACATGGAGACCGACTCATCCCCTCATATGAAGCGAAGGCGTTCCCAGAAGCACAAGAAGTGAGTGTTATATCAATGAGTCTTTAGCCATAAGATAATGAGTGGTTATGTGTGTGTCTGTCGTGAAGGGCCGGAAAGGGTGCCAAAGAGGACGGCTTCGCGAAGCAGTCGTCGTTTGTGTTGAAACTGTTTGACCGGAGCGTAGATTTGGCTCAATTCAGTCACAGCACCGCCCGGGACGACGCCCCCCTCTACCCGGTGTGTCGCTCGTGGATCCGAAACAACACTCAGTTACCAAATCTGTACGAATCGCCGGCCGCTCTCGAGGACTACCACAACAACGACGACTTGGAGACCAGTGGCGGACCCATCGATGAGAAGCCCTCAGGAATATATCATTTGCCGAAACCGTTGCCTAAACCGAAGGATGAGTTGGGAAATGAGATCGATTTACGGATACCGGAGTCGGTTAGGAATTACCAGAGACGCGAATCGCAGGCCGATGTGCTGATCAACAGCCTGGAGGGCGACAACTTCAGCGCTCTGTTGGCCAGGAATGTGAGCCATTGGAAGCAAGTGCGGCAGGACTGGCACCAGTCGTCCATCGAGAATGAGTTGCGATACAAACACAGCTGCGATGTCCTGAAGGCTATGTTTGACAAGTAATGCAATTGTTTTATGAGTTTGAATTCAATTAATGATTGATTTTGTGGTGTTTTTATAGGACATTGAATGGACAGACAGACCAATACAAGCCGCAGACTATGGATTCGATACTATAGATTGCTTTTTATAGACAATATGCATGTGTTTTATATAATATAATGGGATTTAAAGAATTTCCAATTGAACGTTATTATCGTTTTTATCTAAACACAAATACATTACACTTTTAGTTAAATTGATTGCACAATAATTACATACTTTTACTATTTTTTCGACAATTACATACAGTATATTATATATAAGAATTGAATTTAATTTTCAAATATTAAAGTACAGAATATCTAATAAATTTAATTTGTATGTAAAATATTTTAAACATCAAATGCTGACTAAATTATAGACTTTTTTTGTCATCAAATAAAACTTTGTCTCAATATAACGATTACTATGACTTATGGATTCAAATAATATGTATAATATTAACACTGGTATTAATAGTATTTTAGTTTAGTACTCGGGTACATTATAATTTACATAAAGGTAGGTAAGCGCTAAATTGTAAATAATTAAATTGAATTAAATACTTTTAAATTACTTAAAACTGTAATTCATTACCGGTATGATAGAAATTACAAAAAACTTTATCATTCAAAGTTCTGCCTATAGGTGTCAGTACGTGTACCATAAACTTATTTGTTTGAAATTATTTTATTAATTTTTGTTATGTTATATATGAATAGTAGGGGTTTTGAACACTTGGCTTTTCAATGCAAAATCAATGTCTATGCAAAAAGGGGTGCATTATTATCTTATTTATTTGGTAACGTAAGTGGGAAATAAATCAAGAATCATACACATATAGCATATACTAATATTGACTTTTAGCGTCCCTCACAAGTTTAATGCACAGTATATTCAATACAAATATTTAGTAAAGACAATACACCCCTCCCTGTCATATAAGTAACGCTTTATATTAATTGAATTTCCAATGGATGTCATGCTTACAGGAATTGACCTTAACTTACATCACACCTGAAGACCACATTCAGTGATCAATCATTTGTCCGCTTTTTGGCCACAAATGATATAAACAAATAGTTTTTTGGACACAACTCAAGAGGAATCGAGTGATCGCCGAAGACGTCGACCAGAAAATGGGAATCAATTCGAGCACAAGACGAGTGACAGTCGTGAACGACAACGAGTCCGGAGTCATCAGGGTTTGTGATATGCTGACCACCGCTGCTGATGACCACTCATTCACTCACTCATGCGTTGATTTGTTTTGCCAATAGATCTCGGAATCGGTGGTACAGAAGATCAGTCAAACGCAACACCACAGCAATGATAGCCAACCGATTCAAAGACCTCCTCCGCAGTCATCACAACCTGCGCCACAATCGCAACAACAACAGCAAAGTCCTCCTCAGAGGCGAGAATTATCTGTAATTTCATTGATTTGTGTTTCGATGGACTCATTGTATATCTGATGCCATTATCTGTTGCCCCCAAAGAGCGATCACCTCTTCGTGGGCTCCCAGTCTTCGCGCGAAGAACACGAGCGTGAGATCCGACGTCTGGAGCAGTCGTGGAAGACTCAGATCCAGGAGCTTCAGAAGCAGAACCGACAGCTGTGGTCGACGGCCAACGAGAACCTGTCGACCAATATATCGGACGTCGAGAAGAATCTCGTGAAACAAAAATGTGATCCCATTTGTAGACAACACGAGCGACTAGTGGTCGACTGTTATCACTCGAATAGATCCCAACCCTTAAAGTGTTCCAAAGAAGTGAAGGCTTTCGTGGATTGTGTACATCAGGTTCGGCGAAGTGTTCTCAACAGAAATGGTTAATGAATTTAGTTTAGAAGACAATTGTTTTTTTGTTTTTATAGTCTTTGGCTCCGATTATCTCATAGTCTCTCATGTTTTGTGACAGACTTTTGATTGAGTTTTGAAATTAAGTCCAAATTTAGAGCTCATTATATGTTTGACATAAGATTTTACTTAACTATTGTTTAGTTGAATATAAGTATAATTATTGATTATAATTAAAGTGAATTAAATTAAATTTTCAATTGCTTTTAGTGTTTCTTAAACTAAACTATGCGTTCATTTCTGTAAACTATTTTTAATTTAATTTAGAAATAATTCATTAGTCATTAAATGTATTTAAAAATAAATATATATAAAAATTGGAAAATAAATCGAAATTTAGCGAATAAATTAATTTATAAATTTTCTATTTGTGTTCATTATTTCAAAATTTCATGTGATTTTCATCAAAGTGTGAACAAAACTTTGATCTCGACTCCACTTTTACGGTACAAACAACTGTTTTTAAAAAAACACTTGAATATTAGTTGACTTTCAAAATAAATTTTGATAATACGGTAAAAAGCGATTTCTAAAAATTATGACTCAATACTAGCTACTGATCCCTAATAAAAATTCATTTAAATATGGAAATTATATTTAAATTATGTGTAGGTTTTATATACCGTTAAGTAGTTTATGATTACGGAATCGCTTTCTTTATGCGGAAAATTTTGATAATATTTGTGTGTTATATTATATTCTCTAATTAATCTATTATAATATGTATAATTCATATAAATTGCTTGCAATTAATGTTGAATTCATATTTTAATGTACTATAATAAGTTATATGAAATTCTATACTATAAAAAGTTACTTATTTTCAAAGACCTAGGAATAAATGAATGTAAATAAAGTAGAAAATGATTTAATGAACTCTATTTATGCTATAATAAAAGCATTGAATGCATGAATGAATGGAAATACGAGATTAACTCATAAATATAAACTTTATAAATATANCTAGGAATAAATGAATGTAAATAAAGTAGAAAATGATTTAATGAACTCTATTTATGCTATAATAAAAGCATTGAATGCATGAATGAATGGAAATACGAGATTAACTCATAAATATAAACTTTATAAATATATTCTGTATACTGTGAAAGCAGGTGCCGTACAATATAGTAGCATTAAAAAGCATCTGTTAATCAGCTAATATCATATGTGTTGGAGGCAGTTGTCGAGCACATCCTATCAATTCGTTTACACCCATTACCACACAATAATCAACACTAAAAAACTGAGACAAAACTATCACTGCCTTTCAATTCCTGTGCCTAAAATTGTTTGCTTCAATACACGTACACATAGTTTGCTATAAATTATTATTTGTGTCTCAATACTATTCTCACTGTTTTTCTATTGTATTGTATTTTAATTGTAAGTTATTGTAACTTTTTTAAAAAAGTGTTATCAAAAATGAGTAACAAATGGGTTGACATTCAATTAAATGAGACATATAATATGAATTGCATAGCTAGCGAGTTGGTTAGCCAGGTTTCTAATACTAGCATTACTAATGGAAATGCTACTAGCAATAGTGATAATAACATTATTATTAATAACATAAATAATATTGATTTGCAATTAAAGTCGAATAAAAGTGGTGTAAAAAGTTGTGATGAAACTTATGTCTCATTGAATCCGATTCTTGGGATCACTAGCGATGACAATAGTAAGAAGACTAGTGCCAAACGATTCGAGAGATTAGAGTCGAGGGATAGTATGCTGTCATCGCCTTCCCTCTCGCCGACAACTGAGTGTCAGTTCGACTTCGAGTCCACACCATTCAGGGGCTTAAGAGATCGGCGGATCAGTTCACTCGTCGACGAATTGCTGAATGATATTTATTGCAATCTTAGGGCCAATCGCAACAGAAACCTAAGCGTCAGTTCCGATACCAGTAATTACTCGACGCCTGAATTCCAGAAGAAGCCGCTTTACAAAGACATCTATTTGAAAGGGAAAGGTATTTGTGATGTGCGCCATACATGACATACATATAATTAAGTCAATCTGAGTCTCACTATGTGTTGAACACAGTGTGTTCACTACATGTAGTAATTGCTTAACATTTGAGTGCAAAATGCAATTAAAGCTAACATTAGATTCTGTTGAGAGAAGTTGTAAAAATCATTTCATTCATTCATTCAATACAATCAATACTATAGTACTATAGCTTTCACTAATCAATAGGTTTCGCAGTAAATCATAAGTAAAACTAGATTTAAAGCCAAAAAATACTTATTAGAAGCGATTCTTGCTTTCAAAACTTTTCTTATATCCCGTTCCCCACTTTCTATCGATTCCCACATAACTGTTAATCAAATAAAACTCAATTATCATTGACTGTCCTATTGATGTCTGTCCATAGTCTATGTATTGATACGTATGTATTATCTATGCTGTGGTGACAGGTCTGGCGGAAGTGAATGAATTGGTGCAACACCTGCGCGAAGACGTTCACCGCATGAATCTAATGCTATTACATGAGCTGCGAAAGCGGGACCGACTGTCTGTCCACAGGAGTCAGTACTACGACATCATAACCGCCGCACTTCAGGCTATATCACCGAAACGCAGTGAGACTCGCATTACTTGTAGTCATGTATTCATAGCATTATAGGTAGAGATATGAGTCACGAATTGCGTGACAGACACAGACTCTATGCGTGAGTGAGAGTGCACTGAGAGTGCAGTGCATTGAGTGACCACTGAATCACTGAACGTATGCATCGAATGGATGCGCGTCTGTTGTCTTCGTTCGACTGTTTTCTCCGAACGTATCGTTCGATTGAAGGCATGAATCGCATGAAACACACAACACATCCGTCACTGCCATTCACAGACACTCACAGACACTATCATCACACCGATGGACACACGCGATGTGGTCCACGCTTAAGACACACACAGAATATATGTATAGTTATGAAGATTGCAATTCTCAGAGTTTCTCTAATCTGTATGTTTGTGACCACATCCTGTAGTGACAATTATAGGGATCAGTAATTGGTGAATATCTGTGCGATTGTAGTGTTTGTGCTGGACATATCATTTTTGTGAATTGTATTTTGGTTTCTGTATTATTCAATGCATTGTAGTATTGATTACGTAATGAACACACGAATCGATTCCGTGAATGCATTCACAGACACTCTCGCAGTCATTGTCCATATCATACATATTCTATGACACTCTACACCTGTAAGGCTCGCTTCACTGCATACCTGTTGTTAATATAATGTTAGAAATGCTATGAAAAAGACTCACATTTACAACCGTAATTGAACCCGGTCATGTTGAATTGAGTATAATTGTATACATCTGACATTGAACAAAACTTTTAAATTCTATTAATTCATGTTTGAAAATACAATACTTTGATGAATACCCTGAAAATCAATTACAAAGCCTTGTATTGAGAATATATGGGCACCAGAAGCTCCATTAATCCGGTCACTACTCTAAATCATTTATTATTTATACGACAGCACCTGTACCTAATCCATAATACTGTATGAATTTTTTAAACAACTTTATTGAAACACAATATAAAATCAATCGAAAATATTATCCGAAAAAATAAATTAAAGTCTATTTTTATACTCCCCATAGAAATTGATACCAATTCATAGTTATCTTATTATTTGATTAGAAAAAACTAGTTTTGCTTTTGAATTGATTTATAAGTAGATATAAAAAATAAGATTATATATAATTTTCTATGTATTATAAACAAACAAAATCTCTTTCGGGAAAAAACTTTTCTATTATTTATAAATTCTGTAAATCTTATCCATTTTCTGAGACTATTTTATATTTTTATTTTTTATACATTCATTCATTTCAAAAGGGATATACATTTACCAAAAAAACGTATTCTCAATATAAATTCTTATATCACTTTACTTTTGAACTTTTGTTTAGAGACAGAAAAGTTTGTCCTAAGTTTTATAAATAATTTTAATGAATAATAAATGCACAGAATTTTCTTACGAAATTGAAAGTCAAATCATATCATTGTTTGACATTTCATGCAATCTAGTCGTGTGTTTTATTTATATTATTCATTTCATTCTCGACTCTATGATNATTTATAAATTCTGTAAATCTTATCCATTTTCTGAGACTATTTTATATTTTTATTTTTTATACATTCATTCATTTCAAAAGGGATATACATTTACCAAAAAAACGTATTCTCAATATAAATTCTTATATCACTTTACTTTTGAACTTTTGTTTAGAGACAGAAAAGTTTGTCCTAAGTTTTATAAATAATTTTAATGAATAATAAATGCACAGAATTTTCTTACGAAATTGAAAGTCAAATCATATCATTGTTTGACATTTCATGCAATCTAGTCGTGTGTTTTATTTATATTATTCATTTCATTCTCGACTCTATGATATGTTTAATGAGAAATTCTCTCAACATTTACTGCAACACTACTTACACTTGTAATGCAATCATGTTTTGTTTCAAAATTATAAATTACTGTAGTCGTAAATTACTTTTAGGCAATAAAAATCTAATACAATAGTGTCTGTCAGAAGTGATTGTCTCTGCTAATAAAGTTATAATATTGGTCGTAATATGAAATAGTGTGAACACTTTTGAATGCATTTTTAGCCACAATAAAAAATAAAATTCATAATCTCTAATGTGATAAATCAAAACTGAATGCCAGTGCACACAGAGGTGTAAGAGTAGAGTACTGTGCGAACGGATTACTGGAATTCTGTAACATTTTTTTATCTGCCGGTGCCGTAAATTTTAGTTAAGATTTTTGTTTGATAACAGCTTTTATATTTATAACTCATGAGTAGATAATGATAGATAATGAGTACTAAACTTATAATTTATGATGGATTTTTAATCATAAAATATTCACATTGTTTTTGTATTGCGAAACTGAATCAATATTATGGAAAATTTATTTTTTTGTTATTTACAAAATATTTTTTCATTTAATCAATTTAACTTCTGTATTTATTTTTAATTTATATTGTACAGTAAGTTATATTATAGCACTTTTAACATATGAATTGTATTAGAATATTTAATCTAAGTAATGGACTAAAAATAGAATCTAATTATCATTTAATAATAGAAAAATTCTTTAAATTCAACAAACGCTGAAAATAATAGTTATTAACATGTACTGTACAGTGTTAGTACATTGTTATATCTTTGATAATACAGTAAATCAATAACTTTATTAAGTGTATTATTGAGTTATCTGTTATGAACTTAACATAAACTTGTGTGAATCGATTTGAGAAA